TGTGCAGGTGCAGCGGATCGCTAGTGGCCTCAACCTCAAGGGATTAGACCCCCATTCCTTACATGTAGATTTTTACAGTGCTAATGTTTATGTAGTAAATTACTAATGTTTATAATATAATGTCATAATCAATTAAGTAATCATTTAATTATATAATGTTATAATTAATTATGTGATCATATTACAATGAAATGCTATAATGAATTAAGTAATCATACTATAAATCTATAATTTAATATTGTAATTAATTAAATTTCTAATCATTTAATTAATATACTAATGTTTTTAATGGAATGTTATAATTAATTAAGGAATCATATTATAAATCTATAATGGAATGTTATAATAGATTAAGTAATCGTACTATAACTCTGTAATGTAATGTTATAATTAATTAAATTTTTAATCATTTAATTAAGTAATGTAATAATGTAGTAAATTACTAATGTTTATAATGTAATGTTATAAATTTATAACTAATTAAGTAATCATTTAATTATGTAATGCTATAATTAATTAAGTGATCATAATATAATGTAATGTAATAATGTTATAATTTAATTAAGTAATTATTTAACAATAATATAATATTTAATTAATTAAATTTCTAATCATTTAATTAAGTAATCATTTGTTTATAATGTAATGTTATAATAAATGTTTATAATATAATGTTATAATCAATTAAATAATTATGTAATGTTATAATTAATGAAAAATCACACTCAACATCTGCCTCTTAGTGTTCGGCGCTCATTTTGCGCTTCGAAGACTAATTGCTCGATTTGATGTCAAGCTCAAACTTCGTAGGTTGTGTGTTGAATACAGATTTTGTGGCCCATTTTTTCTACAACGTTCTCAATAAACTCGGAATTTCAAATGAATGGCATGTGAGTAATTTCTACGCGGTCATGTCGCATTAAATGCAACTACTTTTGCAGTTACTTTTTGTCGCGCCTGGGCGACTACAGCTATCCATGCATGAAATTGAGGAGACATGCGATGGCAGTTATGATTGTAGAGGTCTGATGATTGATCTACCTTTGTGGATGATTGACATGTGGCTACGTCAAATGACTAGTATTGCTCGATGAATGGAGGGCTAAGATTTACTATAGATCGACGATTATGATCGAATCCCACCTCTTCGTCTCCCATGCGCACCACTATAAAAGTGGGCAACCTTCATTAAAAACTCACACACTTTGTAAAAAAAATCGGAGTTTCTTTGTTTTTGGTTTGTTGTTGTTCTCTCAACTTCACAAAATTTTTTCGGCGAGTTCTCACCACTTCTATGCTTCGGTAAGACTCTTTTCCCCTCTTTTACTTATATTTACGTCTTTTGCTGTTGAGAGTGGTCATTGTCATGGCCACATTAAGCTTTTTTAGGATTTTTTTAGTTTTACCGTTGATTTTGGGTTTAAGAAGGGTTTATGGTGACGGCCGCCGGAATCCTTGTAGCTCGCTTGTGTTTGTTGATCGACACGAGCTACCTTGGGTGCCTGAACTAAAAGCAAAGTGTATATAGGTCAATAAATTTTTGAGCTCTAACACTTGATCGCTTCTGTTTCAGGCAGGCACGTAGCCATATAGTGGCTTGTGGGTTCAATTGAACCCACTAAACTTTTCAAAAATTTCAAAAAAGTATTAATAGTTTATAGATTTTATAGTTTTAACCCCATTTAACTTCATGTTGACCCCACAAAATAAATTATTAATCAATACTTTTTAAACTTTTCTCTTTTCTTTATTTCCTCTCTTTTGCTCTCATATTATATTTTTCTTTTGGTTGGATACTCAAGAAAGGCAACTCCTTTGGATTACAAGGTAAGATGATACTATTTTTATTTTTATTTTTTTACTTAAAATTAATTCGTTTCTTTTAGCATTTTTAATTGATGAAAGATCATGAGTTATGAGTTTTTGTTGAGTTTAATAAATGAGTTTGAAATAATTCCGAGATTTTGATGTAGGTTTTGATTTAATCTTTTTTATGTTGAGGTATGGCTTAATTAATTGCTATTTTAAGTTGGGTTTGATAAATTGTGGTTAGTTATTGAGTTAATTTTAAATATGGTTTAAAGAATTGATGAAACCCTAAGTTGTAGAGATTTGGGGATTTGGTTTAATTTCGATAAATTGGTTAGTTGTTTGATATTTAGAGTTAGAATTGATGAGTTTTCATGGGTTTATGAGTTGAATTTTATTAGGTTAGTAGAAATTGTTTGAAAAACCTAAGTTATGAGTTGAATTTTGATAAATTTGTGTTGTTTTTTAATTGTAATTGCAAATAAATTAGATTTCTGATGATACAAATTCTTTTATTTTTTTTAGTTATGGACAAGTTTATTATCAAAAGAAAGTTTTCTAATGAGAAACCATCAATAGAACAAAACATAAGGCGTCACGATGGTGTTCACAATGAGCCTATGGAATCTAGTTCAAGACAAACATATGTTAAACTTAACTTGAGTAGTCTTCCTGCAGATCCTGGATTGAGGATTAAAATTTTAGAATATCATCCTAATGATAGAGACCAAGTGAGAAACACATACTTGCAAAAAGGACCTTGCCAACCACACAATCATAATTTTAAAAAGAGAGCAATTGAGAATTTAACGCGTCTTTTTAATCCCATTTGGTTTAGCGAATATGCAAATTGGTTGGAGTATAGTGTAGAAAAGGAGGGTGTTTTTGTTTGTGTTGTTATCTTTTTGGACATGAAATTAGCATTGATATTACCTGTTGTAACTTCAAGTGTAGAAAGAGCATTTTCTGCGATGAAGATTGTGAAAAATTGACTATGGAATCGAATGGGAGATCAATTGTTAAATGATTCTCTTATTACATATATTGAGAGAGAGATATTTGATGGAATTGTCAATGAAGCAATTATGCAATGTTTTTAGAATATGAAAAATCGTCGAGGACAATTGTAGAATTGATAATTTGGTATATATAACTTTTAAAAGTACATTTTTTTATGCTTATTACTTGAGTATATATTTTATTGTAAATTTATCAACATTGATGTTTTGAACCCACTCACTCAGAATCCTGGCTACGTCCTTGGTTTCAGGTACCTAGAGGCGAGCTTCCATCATGTCTTCCTCCAGCTTCCACAGCATAGATCGACTCTTTGATTCCCCTATGACCTCAGCCGTTCACGAGGACATAGTCTTTGAGGTTTCTGAGGACTTCATCGTATGAAGACGGATCCTAATGCTGCGGGCTCCTCCAATCATCCTTCTATAGAGACTTTTCTACAAAAGAGACATTTGGTCCATAGGCCCCGAAAGGAACCACGTTCCTCAATAGAGGTTGAGGATATTGAGCACATAACAAGCGTTTATACGACTCAACTTCCCCTAAGGGTTCCGAGAAACTTCTCTTAGAAATATCAGCCTACTTGTTATGTGGCGATTTCTGATACCCTCCTGAGGTGTGGGATGTCTGTTCCCCCTCATTACTTCATCGTCAATATTTTAGAAAGATTTGGCATTGTTCCCCTCCAGTTGACGGCAAACTCGTATATAATAATTGTAGGCATGTACATAGGATACATGAAAGCTAACTTGGGTGAGCTATTTGTAGACGAGCTTGTCCATTTGTATAGGCTAAAAAAGAGTCGGGACCAAACGTACTACCTCTTTAAGGCGAGGAAAGTACAATTCAATGGTTTGGTTGACGTCCCAAAGAAATTGTCCATATGAACAATATCTTCAGGTTTTAGTAAGACCGGCATGCAAAGAATGTTTCCAAGCTCGATGAGTGAACTAATCAATTCTATGTGTTTTGCAGTAAACATCGAGCATAACTTCCTTCATGAGGCGAGCTTAGAGCGACTTCAGCAATTTATCAATCTCCCCAATAGCGAGCACAACGTTACCGAGCTTATCATGCTTATTCAGTTGAAAGTGTATCACTTTTGCGTCAATGAAGCCAAGTTCAATACAATTTTTGATAAAGGTAAGTACTTGATAGCTTGTTTTTTATCTCGCCCTGTTAGGTCACTGACCACTTGCTTTTCCTTTGCCGCTGATTGTTTCGATGAAGACGGCTCGCAAATACTGTCGAGGTGGTCAAGCATGGTACCTCACACCTGGTCCTCAAGAGCAGTGGCGGTGAACTTGGGGAGAAAGGTGCCCCGAGCCCCCAAAGAGCTCGATGAAGAAAACCTTTGATGTAACACCCCCTTCCAGCCGGGTACTCTTTAAGTTTCCATTAATGGTACTCATGTTACTTGGCCAAGGTATAAGTCCAAGGTTCAAGTCATGAGGGAGGCATTCGCAAGGTGGAGAGACCACGAAGCAAAACAAAGTCGTGAGGGTCTGAAGGAGGCGTGTGAAATTTATCAAAACATTCGTCTCTTAAACTCATTTGCAATTGCAATTTGCATTGTCCTTTCCTTAAAGAAACCTTAACGAAACCCACAAAAACATTCTTCATACATGGCTTTGAGATCCCCATTTCGTTCGTCTTCAATCTCTCAAAACCCATCTCTAAAACTTAGTGTTTTATATTTGCTAGCTCACTTACATAGCCTCACAACTTCAAGCCCCCAAAATGAAGTTTTGTATTCTTTCGAAAAACCCCTTGAATGATCCTCACTTGGTAAATTCCTCAAAAAAATTGTCCATCAAGTAACTTTACTCTAAATGAAGCATTGTACTTTTTCTATTACATGATTAGTTCGCAACCCATTTCTCCAATTTCATCATTCACCACTTTGTTCAGTGCACTTGCGAAGAAGAAGCATCATTATGAAGTGATTTTGCTTTTATAAGTGGTTGAATTCAACTGGGTTGTCTCCAAATTTCACATGTTTGAGCATTTTGATCAATTGTTTGTGTAATATTAAAAGGGTTTCTGATGGTTATGTAGTTTTTGGGAGGATTTTGAAGTTGGGTTTTAGCCCAGATACTGTGACATTTACTTGTTTAATTAAAGGTCAGTGTGTAGAGAGAAAGATTATATAATCAACGGAATTGTTTAAGAAAATGGTTGTTGTTGGTTGTCGGCCTAGTGCGATTACTTATGGGACTTTGATTGATGGATTGTGTAAAACAGAGGAGATAAGTCTTGCTATTAAGTTGTATGAGGAGATGGTTAATGGGAATGATGAATTTGGTGTTATTTGTAGGTCAAATGTTGTTATTTATAGTACTATAATTGATGGTCTTGTAAGGCTGGATTGGTTGAGAAGGCTAGACAATTATTTTTGGACCTTATGATTCAGAGAGGTGTGGTTCCTAACATTTATACTTATAGCATTTTAATGAATGGTTACTACTTGGCAGATAGAATTGGTAATGCAAGGCAGTTGTTTGATTCCATAACTAGAAAGGGGTATACGCCTAATGTTGTTTGCTACAATACTTTAATCAATTGGTATTGCAAGGATAAAGAAGTCAACCAAGCTCTTTATCTTTATCGAAAAATGATTTATGAAGAAATTAGGCCCGATGTGATTATATATAGCACCTTGTTAACTGGTCTTTTTCTTATCGCTAAGGTTGGAGATGCGCGGAATTTGATTGGTGAGATGCGACTTAACGATCTTTTTCCTGATTCCTGGACATATAACATTTTCATTGATGGACTTTGCAAGAATGGATGTGTTTTGGAAGTGCTGGAAATGTTTTATACTCTAGTAAATAATGGGTTTGCAGTTGGTATTGAAGGTTTGAGTTCCCTCATTGATGGATTATGTAAAACAAGGAGATTCGAAGCTGCTTAGGCCTATTTCAGAAATTTTCTCTTCATGGAAACCTAGTGCCAAACGTTGTAACATATAGCATTTTGATAAATGGGCTCTGTAAAAATGGACAATTAGAAAAGGCAAACAAGTTGTTGTCATATATGGAGGAAAAAGGTTGGGCTCCAAATGTAGTCATATTTGATACGCTTCTCTTTGCTTTCATAAAAATAATGAGATAACAAAAGTTATTGAACTCCTTCATAAGATGGCGGAGAGAAATGTGAGCCGACTGAATGTACAATGTCCTTAATCATGCAGTTACTAATGAAGGGCGAAAATTATCGTGAGTGTTTGAACTAGCTTCCTTAATTTCTGGTCCAAAAGAGAAATTGAAGTTCATGTGATAAAACTTTAGTGAGTACTAAATTTTTTTGGAGCAGAATCTTGCAAAAGTTCATCTAGCTACCAAAATGCTCTATTTTGGTTACTGTAAGAAGAAGGTTCAGGAACCACTTTCATCTGTTCGAATTTGATGGGGATGGTGAGGGGGATGATTGAGAATGATGGTTTCCTTGATCAAACATACGATATGTGATCTGTCTCTATTGTAAGTGCATATAGTGGAGGTGGCAGCACTACAGCTGCATCAACATTTGCACATGAAGTAGATCTTAAGGGTTTGAGGATTATTTCTAGTGCAAATTTCAGTAAGCAAAAGTTGCATATGAGAAATTGTTAAATGGTTCTTACTTCAACTACAATAATAATGGTAGCCACTTAAGTTCATCTATTCAAGTTGATCAGTTTACTGGAAGATGGTATGTTGCAACTGATTAACTTTACAGATTGGTATTCTCAAATATCCAGGCTTGATAAATCCTGATTTATTTATAATGTTTCACATGTTTCTTTTTTCTTAATATATATGTTTTTTAGTTCAATTTGATAAGACTAGAACTTACTAGGTGTGTCTCTAATGTAGTTATGCACGAACATGTGCTTTTTCAACGATATTTGATGAAGACAAAGCAAGAAGAGCATTAGAGAAGGTTTTTGACTATAATGAGTTGAAGAATATGGATGCATGGTAGGGGCTGGTCAATGGGATCTACTGTTGGAACAGGTGACATGACAACATTGCAGCCAAGAGAAATATGGTTCGGTGTTACATATGCGGTTGCTGTAACGATGATCCATGGAGACTTGGTTGATATCGGATTTCAAATTGCCATTGAAATCTATGAAGCAGCATGGTTTGAAAATGGTGTAATGACTTCTTTCTACTAGTATACTTTAGAATATATATACAATAAAATCATACATACTTAGCATATGAAAATAGTTGGGCCCACATTTTTCTTTACTTATGAAATATAATTCTTTACGTATACTAAAATAACAAGTACAAAAACTTAGTAACGGTGGACAGTAATGCCAATTCTCTCCGCTTGACGACTCCCTTCCGACCGCTGCTCACCTATTTCCTGCAAAAACATGGAAAAACAACGGGGTGAGCATAAAAATGCTCAGTAAGTAAATCCCTTAACTCTTTTCCTTCTTTGATTCTTTCCTTACTTAATTCTTTTCCTCTTTCTTTCATTCTTAGTTCTTTCTCTTCTCTTTCTCCGTTTCTAATTCTTACTATTATTTCTTTCTTCCTAATTCTCACTGTTCTTTCCTTCACTCTATTCTTTCTTTCTATTCTTTCTATTCTTTCTAACCATGGTGGAATACATGATAATATGCATGAATGAAATGCATATGCAATAATGCATAAAAATGCATTTTCTTTCTTCTTTCTATTTCTTATTCTATTTCTTTTCTTTTCTTTCTTTTCTTTCTGTTCTTTCTTGTCTTGCTTGCTCAAGCTTCTCTTTTCTTTTCCTTTCTTTTCTTTGCTTGTTCAAGCTTTCTCATTCTTTCTTATTCTTGTTCTTTCTTATTCTTTCTTTTCTTGTTCTTTATTCTTGCTTATTCTTTCTTTTCTTATTCTTATTCTTTCTTTTCTTATTCTTTGCTGATCGGTCTCGGTTGATGCATGGATTTGGAATCTTAGCCGTGTGAGTGAGTACAGTCCTCATCTACATGCACTCTTGTGGACCGTACAAATTCTTTCTTTCTTCTTAGGCCACTCAATTAAGGTGGCGTGCATGTAGGAATTCTTCCTGGTGCAACCCTCATCCACATACACTCTTACGAGTCTTACAATTCTTCTTCTTCTTATGCCACTCAATTATGGTGGCGTGTATGTGGAAATTTCTTCTTAGCACTCACGATTCCCCATCGCACAACCTATTCTTTTCTCTTCTTTAATGTTTTTCTTTCTTTAATTCTTTAGTGCTTATTCTTTCTTTCTCTTTATTCTTAAAGTGTTTTATTCTTAAAATTCTTTATTCTTTCTTAAGTTATTACACAAATACAAATATATGCATATGGATGGCTCATGCTTAGAATTCTTACTTAAATGCACTCATGAAATGCAAATATGCAATGTTGCATAAAATTAAAGTTTCTACTCATACTCATACTTCTCTTAGGCATTTAATCAAACAATAAATGTGCATATACAAACTTTACTTTAATTATAATTCTCTTTTTTTCTTTAACCATCCAAAATGAGAGCCAAACTCCTATGTGTCCTCATAATCCCTACACGGCAAAACACTCCCAAAATTCTTCCAATTCCAACCGAATTTCAACCAATCATCATACAATCAAAAACACTTCTCATACTCAAATATATCCAACAACAAGAATAAATAACATCAATCTCATTTCAATTTCTCAACAATCATAATATATACATGCTTAAAGAAATCTCTACTCAATTGATTTCTTAAACCTTAACTTGAGTTGGAGTTTGAGTGCAATTTACTTACCTTATACTTGAGTAGTCTCCACTAAAGCTCTCTACTCTTGTTGGATTCAAACCTTTTCTTAACCCTAAGCATAAACTTAATAAGAATTCAACTTCTACACAAATAAATCATATATATAAAGCAAGAATTCTTACCCCTTGTTGCCTAGGATCAAAACCTTATTAAATTCCACTCAAAAGCCCTCAAAATCCTTGGAAAAATTGAGTGAAAATTTGAGAGAAAATGGAGAAGGAAAGTGGCCGTGGAAAGGAGAGAAATAAGGGTTACAAACCCTCAATGCCTTATTTTATAAACATACTTTCCCATTTTTCCCTTACACTTTCTTGGAAATTCCATCTATGACCCTTAGTCAATTACCATACTGCCCTCATTTTTATTGCATTTTACATGAAATTCTCTCTCCTTTCACTCCCCACTTTTTCAACTAACTTTGAGTGAAAAGACCATTTTACCCTTAATGCAAGTTTTAAGGCATTTTCTTCATATTCTCTTAAAAAAACTTTAACAAAAATCAACTAAGGGCTATAAAAACATAAATTAAATTACATACCTCCGTGTGGGCATTACAATTGGACTAGGGTAAGGTCCCCCTAATGTTATCAAACGGTGTCATCTTATAGCTTAGTTGTTAAGCCGTTAACTAGGCTATGAGTCTTGTGTTTTTTAGATCTAAATTTGTCTCAAATATGTATAGATTTCATTGGAGCATCTGTTTTGTGTGTTCATTTAATTTTATTCTAGAGGATGTGCCGTTTAACCATTTTCTAGTAGATTCTTGATGTTGTGAAATGTCAAACAAAACTTCGGTAGTTATAATGTCTAATAGATCATTTTTTTTTCTCCTTAGGTGATAGAGGAGGAGAAGAATAACATGGATAGGTAATATAGGATTCTACATAGGGAGATGGAGAGAAATTAATAGGTTAAGAGGAGAAATCAAGAAAGGGATACCAATGACTCAAATACTCAATCATATAATGTAGAAGATAAGGACTAAATACCCATTTGCATCCTTCATTTACGTCCTGCATCATCAGGTTACTTCCTTTAGGATAATTTTCTGCAAATTACAATTGGAAACTTACATTCTGCATAATTGACATTGATAATTATCTATCCTAGAACTATTTGTTCTTGATAATTCATTGACTCATTGCTATTTTTTGCATAGTTATTCTCTCTGAACTCTTGAAGCTTGGACCACCGTTGATTGTTTTAGAGTGCTAAGTTACCTGCATTTGTTGGCCATGTGGGCAATTCCATGGGCTCTAACAAGGCCAAAACCTTGTAAGGATGAGATGGTACCAAAAGTAAATGAAGAGTCTTTGTATAGATATCATGCAAGATTCTGCAATGTTGCTCACCTTCTAAAGGTTTCGGATGAGAAAATGCTTAAAGATCTTTTACTGTCACTCTTTTACTACACTTGCAAGAAGATGTTTAATACTCAAAGTCATGAGAGTCTGGTAAACCTTTTTTCAAGTTTTTGTCAAACAACAATTTGACTGGCCCCCTACCCAACCTTACTGGCATGAACATCACCTATTTGTAAGTAGAAAGGATAGCTATCTTTTATTTATATCTTCAATCGGGTAAAGTAAAGTAGGAAATTTTTTTTGATATCGAATTGTTTTTTTTTTTTTTTTTTTGACATGATTTGTGGGGACATGAGTAATAATAGTTTTGATGCGTCAAAAATTCCTTCATGGTTAGCCACCATGTAGTGCTTAACTATATTGTATGTGTAAGTGATTGATCTCGAAAAGGCAGCGGAAAAAAACACAAATTAAAACAAAAATCAATCACTTTCTACGCCAAGATTCGGGTATAGATCAAATTGCTTACAGGTTAATAAACAGAAAATCCGTACAATATAAATCATAGTAAATAATCCATACAAGGATCAAGAACACATTACCAACGTTTGGAAACTCCTTCAATACTATGATTTCACTTGTCGATTCAAGAAGAGAATTGCACGAACGTCGTCCACACGAAGATAATCCGCAGAACCTACTATAGTTTTGCTAGAACTAATAGAAGGCTTCAAGAATCAAGTGAATCAAAGAAAGAAATTCTTTGATTCACACACTATGAAAAACGTGAGAGAGAGAAGAAAAGGTGGCTAGAGTTTTCTTTTCAATCAATGAATGAAAAATTACTCTGTTATGTTTTAATTAAGTTTCACTTATTTAGTGTCACTTAATTAAAAACCCTAATCCCAATAGGAATAGCCATGGACTCTTAAGTTAATCCATCATTGTAACCAAACACACCCTTTATGGTATTTCAATTTTAATTGATTATTAATATAATTAAAATCAATTAATATATCTATAATACATATTGACATTTAATTATTAATAATAATCCATTTAAATATATGCGCACATATATTTAAATATAATCTCACTAATTTTAATATTAAAATTAAATACAGGCAACAACCTCAGCAAATTTAATTGCATTATAAGATTACCAAAATACCCTTTTGTCCTAAAAGATGAAAATACCCCTTTCACAAAAATGATTCTTAAATTATCTTCTAAGTGTGTGACCCGTAGGCTCCTTATCATATCGACAGTGAGTAGTATCACGATTAACACCAACTAATCGTCTCACTACTCACAGATCAAGATTGGCCCCTAGCAAGGCATCATGGCCACCCGATAGATTCGGATTCAGTAAAACAACTACTTGTCAACAATATGGTTACTGTGCAATCCAATCCTTTCATCATCAGTTATCTCATTGAGACTGAGGTACAGAAATAGTGTCAACCTCAGTTATCGTCGATATCTTTGTATTCAGTTATTGGACCGATGACCAGAATAATAAATTGGATTGAGCAACAACTCAATCCCACTGTGGCCACAGATTTAGTGTCATTGCCATTTACTAAATTACCTAGTGAGATAATTTCTCCCGTACCCAGGAGTGATGAATCATTTGTCAATCCATGTAACAACCACATCAAGGTACGTAATTTTACTTATGCCCTAATACCCTTAGTTGGATTTCTTTGAAGTTACCTTAGACAAATGTGAAGAAAATTCCTTAAAACTTCATTAGGGGTAAAATGGTCTTTTCACTCATTATTAGTTGAAAAAGTGGGAAGTGAAAGGAAGCAAAATAATGTGAAGAAGATAATAAAAATGAGGGTATTTTTGTAATTGACTAAAGGATATAGATGAAATTTCATAGAAAGTGCAAGGGTAAAATGGGAATAAGTTAATTATTTGATATAAGGCTTTATTGAAGAAACCCCACACCTTCAGCCCTTGTTCACGCCACCTTTACCCCATTTTTCTCTCATTTTCTTCACTAAATTTCAAAGGAAAACAGGATTTGGTTGGATTTTAATTTTCAATCCTAAGCATCCAAAGGTAAGATTCTAGCAAAAGGAGT